ACTTCTACCAGGTTAATCATATCCATTATTTATAACAACACACACTTCTACCAGGTTAATCATATCCATTATTTCTAAGATCGAATTAACATTTTCTTTTAATTTTTCTCAAAACATACAATAGTTTTTTTTTCACAGGTACTTTGACGAACATTGATACAACATCAAAATCCTGATTTTGTTGATAGAGCTGTCAAAAAACTAAAAAAAAACAAGGATGAAAATATTAAGTTAAAAACACGTGTCGAAAAAGAAAAAAAAAGTTTGGTACTGTCAGTGATGCCTTGTTTATCTTGTCAAATAATGAAGGAATTTAGTAAATAAATAAATATTTTTTGTATATATAAACCGGTAAACAAAATTAGCCAAATTCTTAATATAACTGAAGATGAAACTGATTTAATGGGAAAATTTGGTATGTATAAAATATCATATGAACGTGAAAAGTTTACTTGGGACAAACTGGAAGAAATAAAAAATACAAAATGAATGAACGTAAAAGAAATGTCAAAAATAATTATATTACTAATTCACCATGAGCAGAACATGTTAATGAATTTAAACACATAATTCAATGGGAAAAACTGTTATTTTAGCACAATCTAAAAATGCCATTAGTATGAATATACTATATATATCTCTATCGAGATAATCAAATATAAAAAAAGTAAATATTGAATAATGGTGATGGAAATGTTGTCAGTAGATGGCGTGAAATTCTTTAATATGTAAATGTTTTGTTCGGGTATAAATAAGTCTGATTTTGTTATATAAGACACTGTGTTCCTAAAGTTGATGTAGTGTCAACGTCGTAACATGGTAAGTGTAGAAAACGGGGTGTATTTTTATCATAAGTTTTTATTTTTTTCATGTATGGTAAGTTAGTTAGTAAGTGAGAATAGTCTTATTTTTAGAGTTGTGTACAATAAATAGTTACTTGTTTGAATATTTAACTTCTTCCTGTAGTAACTTGAAAATATTGATTTTAACTTAATTATAGTTATTTTCCTTGTGTGGAATTTAATAATCATCCTTTCAAGGATAAATTTTTAGTTAATTCTAGGTGTGGACATAGAATAAAACTTAACTTTGCAGATATCTTTATATCATCTTGGTATAAGTTTGTCTCTTTAGAGAACTTTTAACCTCGGCAGAAAATAACTTTGTTTATTCTCTTATGTTCTTTCTTTCTATAATATGCCCTTTATCTTCATTCTGTTGACGTCCTTTTAATTTTTAAACCTTCTCAACAATGCTTCATCACGTGGGATAGTCTTAAGATTATTTTCTTAACTATTTTGACCATTTTCTCTATCCTTTGTTTCTGGTTTTAGTTTAATTCTTATTTCATTTTGACTTTCCATCATCTTTCAGTTCTCTAAAATACTGTTCCTTTTTTATTGTTTCGTAAAGTTTACATCACTTTTGTCTGAAGTTCATTAATACTTAAGTTTTCAAGATTGATAAATTCTTTAAAAATCAATTTTCGCATGTATACTTAACCTTTAAACCTCTCTTGAAGGACTTCGTCTCTTACTCTTTCTTCATAGTATTTTTTCGAATATTTCCTTCTGTCGAAGTTCTTGTAATATCTTTGTGTATGTATGTATATGTGTGTATGTATGTATATGTGTGTATATCTTATTTCTTTCATATGAACTCTGATTCGGGAATTCTTGTTTTTATTAATCTCATTCGTACTTTCTGTGGTTTCTATTTATATCTTGTACTCGTCGAGGTTTCTATTAAATTGTCTCTAAGTAGGACAGCAATACGCTTAATGACTTGCAACACTAAAATCCGGGGTTCAATTCCTTATGGCAGATGCAACGGATAGCCTAATGTGGTTTTGTTCCAAAACTGAATAAGTTGGTTATTTAAAGCTTCAATCAAAGATTGTTTCCTTACCTCCTCTGAAGATTTCTTTAACTTGCAGATCACACAAGTAATATTTCCAATATTCCATCCCAGTTATCTAGAACCATAACAGCCATTGGCAGAGTTTAAGCTGCCAAAGAACTAACAAATTCAGAATAAATAAAAACTATTTAGAACCTGGTGGTATTTTAAATATCCTCCCCACCCCGAACAAGAAACCAATGTCTTTCACTCTAACATTAACATAACCCTGGAGTATACGAAGTAACAACTGGTAACACTTCTTGCTGATTTCCTTCCCCTGTGTTTATTCATTACTTCTGTCCACAATCATGCTTGGCTAAGAATATTAGCCCATTTTATAACGGATACAATTGGTTCCATATAAAGTGAAAAACACTCAAACCACTAAAGAAAGAGGATAACGTATTCAAATCCTTGTGAAAATTTGGTGATAATGAAACGTTTTAACCTTAAATGTTACGTTGGTTGTGACGTGTACTATACCCATAGTTAAAACTCTAGTATTCTACACCGGGATGTGGGAGGATCGGGTAACATTGACTTCCTCCTCCCTATAACTGTTAGGTTTGCTTTTGAATTTCGCGCAAAACTACACGACGGCTACTTACGCTAGCCGTTCCTAACTTCGCAGTGAAAGACTAGGGGGGCGAAGGCAGCTAGTCATCACCACCCACCGCTACCCCTTGGTCTACTCTTTTTACCATCGAACACCGGGATCGATTATTACATTAACTCCCCACGGCTGAAAGGGGATTGCCCTAACCACCAGACCATGTCGGGGCCATATTTATTAATAGCGCAGTATTAACTAGTGGCCCATGTAAGTAGATTGCTCTGATCAGAAGTTGACTACCACAGATGTGATTATATTTATCTATGCTGTTGCTGGATCATGAAAAGGTTTAACCCTAAATCTCACCTGGGTTGTGGTTACAACTATCAATTAAAATAGTTGTTAATTATTAGGCTAGTTTTGAGCCCTTATCTGTGTAGGTAGCTTATTGTGACCAGAGGTCAAAGATAATTATCATATTTGTGATTACTTTTAATGTTCACACTGGACAGTGAAATGTTCAAAAACTTGACGTTACCCGTATTGTGATATGTAATATCACGTTTCTGTATTTAAATAATAATCTTAGTCTTGTCAGCTAATTAGTGTCGGTTGGGGCAGGCTTTACGTTTAGGAGGTCTTGTTAAGAGTTTTTATTTTCAAATAAAGTTTTCATTTAGGCCTTTTCTTCAACCTTCATAAGCCTTTTAGCCTTGTTTTCATACTTCAACATCGAGGCTTAAAACTTGAGAGCGTTCATAATCTTGATGGTCGAAGAAGTGTACATTCATTGGTCAGTTATTCTTCGCGATTATTTTAATATTTGAATTACTTAAGTTCATCAATACAACGATATTTATGGATATTTTGGGGGCCGCACGTGTTAAATTGCGGCGCCCACTGAACTGAATATTATTTCAATTTTTCCTGGTATTCTCCAGACCCGACAGAATGGAATACTGGCCACATCCATCAGTGGCTGGGATGGATACAAAAACAGTTCCATCTTGACAACATCGACGCAGCTCGGTTTCCAGCGTCAGGACGGCTTCTCTGCCAACTCTCAAAGGATGATTTCCGTCGTCTTGCAGGATCCAAAACGGCCGAGATTCTATTCACGTATCTTGCTCACCTGAAGCAATGTAAGCCTTGATTTAACTATTAAATAAACGTTAAACAATCAGTCTTTGTTTTTAATCATTTAGACGTTAGTTTATCGTCAAATGCAAAGCTAGATAAAAATGCTATCTGTGCTGTGCCAACCACTGGTATCGAAACCGGGTATTTAGCGATATAACCCTACAGACTCTCCGCTGTGTCACCGAAGGGCAGTATACATTATTACTGCGACACTGTAATACTCGCGGTGTTCCCTCCCGAGGTAGTTCGGAGGCAAGTCTAAGTTTACACTGCTAAAATTTGAGTTTCGATACCTGCTGTGGACAGAGAACAGAACTGTGTGTAAATGTATGTTTTTATAATGAAGTATCTCTGTGATATATTAAATTGTGTAGCCTCTTAATTACTGTCATAACTAATGAATGTACCTACACATGAATACCTGTAGTAATTTACTGCTGTAAGATTTACCATAAGTTATGCTTTAGAACGTAAATATTTCTTTTCTAAAACTTCGGACTACCGAAGTCTTGATTGTAATGAAGACTTCAGAAGCTTTCCTTATTAAACTCTTAAATGAAGTGTAATTTTTGGATTACCGTTTTGTCTCTTAACTAAAACTACTAATTATGTTATAATATTGGGTTTCTTCAAATGCTCTATTGTAACCAGTGTAAAAAAGGGCCATGTTTTGTGCACTGTGTAAGCCTCACTGGTAAATTGGTTTTCTTAACGTTCTGGCCACTTAACCAAAGTAATTGTGTTAAAAGATGTTGAAACAATGAAATAAAATGAGGTTGTAACTTGTAACAAGGGGAGCCGTGTTCTTTAAATTAACATTCGTTACTCTAGTTGTTGCATGAAATGAGTTTTCTTGTAATAGCCTGGTTTCTGATTGTTGTTTATGGCAGCGAGTGGACACGCACCCCTTCCAGCAGTGGACTTCCCTCCTACCCCAGAAAACAGCAGTCCGGCATGTGAAGACATTTACGGTAAGATATCACGATGCATTAATTACTTGCAAGTTACTCCATCTTGTGGCAATATTAACCGATTTAAAATAAACGGAAATGCAGTAAAAGTTAAGTAATTAACCTTAAAACAAACATCAATACCTGACAGAGAAAACAACTACGTAATACATTAAACTTTGTTATTGCTACAATCATTTAAATTTAGAAAACGTTACTGGTAAATACTGTTCTTCACTTTATCATATTTGTTTTTTTAAGACTCGTAACGCAGCTATTTTAACGCCGAGAAGTCTGTAACTTCACATACAATTAGTGTTCTATATTCTAAGTATTTTTATTGTTCTTTTAATTTTCAGACAAAAGTCTCTATACGGACGGTAATAAAAAATCCTCATCAGTAGAATGGTCTTTAGACATGGTGGACGGACTGACGAAATCAGGTATTTTATAGTAATCTCGTGTTCCGCTCTTTAAGTTAATGAATTTAATGTATTACACGTGACATATACACACCCAATCAAAACGGTGTCAAATCTTTCTTCGTACAACCTTATTTACTCCACTTTCACGACTATTCTAAACTTCATACTTAACCTGGGCCGTCGCTAGGGATAGGTGACGGGGGATCTGGCCCCCTGAAATATTACCCCCCCCCAAAAAAAAATTAATCCTCTCCATAAATATAATCTTAGACTTGGCCTACTTTCTTTATGTCCATCTCTCAATAGTTTTGATATTTTTTTTAACGTTAGTTATAAACTTTTTTACTGTACACGTGTTTTTTATTTACGTGAACACTTGTACATTATGTGTGTTTTCAGTTTCATTATGAACTTAAGCAGAAGTTTGCTGTTTCGGTTTAAATATCGTTGAAAGTTTAAACATTTTTTTTTTTTTAATCGAATTGTGCCACCCATCTATGACGTTAATATTTGAACTTATCAAACATTATTAGCACGACGTTTCGACCATTCTACTTATGGCTGTTGTAGGAAGAAACTTCCTTTATATACGTCATGTGAAAATCTACTCCTTTTTTATTATTCTATATTAAATACATAAGAACTACTCCTGCGTATCATACGAAGCACTAAACTATCTAATACTAGCCATTCAACATAAGATCTAGATCCGAAGGTCGATCCTCCTCCTTCGGTGGTGCCTCATGTTTGGTTGAGAACTGAATAGCATGGGGAGCACCTGATATATCGGGGGGTGTAATGAGGGAGTTGTATCCGAAGTCGCACCTCTCTGTGTCACTCGCTGGTGGTCCTAACATGGAAGGTTTGACAATTTGTCCAGCGGTTTGCCAATTAAGTGGATACATAAACGCTAATCAAATAATGGTTTAAAGACGTAGAATGAATGACTCTTTTGAATCACAAAATGATGGACTTTGTTATATAAATAAAATGTATTTTAGGTTTAATAAAACATGGTAGCTCCCTGTTGTCCTGTTCGATTACTAGATGCACGTTAAACAAAATATTATAACACGTGGAACACTATTTTAATTGATTATACTTTTTTATAAGACCTTAGTATTAGGCCTAGTAAGGAATTGCATAATACAAATGGAGTATGGGAAAAATATGATGGGCCTAATACTAATTTATTATAATTATACTCGTGATTCCCCAGCTTAATTTAAACTTAAAGGCGTTTGTATCTATCTGAAAAAAAATGTTTGATTTTTATCAACAATATTTGATGGCGTGTATAACTGATTATCTCTGCATCTTTTCATCGACAATGTTTGATGGCGTGTATAACTGATTATCTCTGTTGCATCTTTTTACCGACAATGTTTGATGGCGTGTATAACTGATTATCTCTGTTGCATCTTTTCATCGACAATGTTTGATGGCGTGTATAACTGATTATCTCTGTTGCATCTTTTCATCGACAATGTTTGATGGCGTGTATAACTGATTATCTCTGCTTGCATCTAACGATGATTTTGGCGTATCTATCAATCGCATTTTCGTATAATTATGATCAGAAGATCGAAAAACTTGTTTATCGTATTTAATTAAACTATTTGCTTAGTCTTTCAACGACACTTCGACATATTTCACAATCATACTTCAACATATGTAACAAATATATTTTAGAATGTAATAATATTTGAAACTTATTTAACGCACGCATAAATAAATCCCCTAAAATTAAATGTGTATGCAAATAAATTTCTAAATTTAAAATAAGTTATTTATTTAATACTTGCTTTCCATTATTTCAGATCCCTTTAAAGCACTAAACACAGCAGGTAGCCGGTTAGCATCTAAAGGTTAGTGAAATCTTTTTTTTTTCTAAATGGGTTTGTTAGGCGCAAAGCTACTATGTGCACCTTTCTCACCGCAGGGAGTGAACCTTAAACTCTAGATTTATAAGTTTACCGCTAAGCCACCGGGTGGGAAGATTATTTAAATGTAAAAATACCGCCGAAAACAAATTTCAGAAGTAATTACGTTTAATCTTTCATGGCACTTTACTTTAACAACTTAGAATGAACACTAATGCTAATCACACTAAGCTTATATTAACTTAACACTGTCTACTAATGTTTTAATCTAAACCTTAGTTTTGCTTAAATACAATAAATGATTATTTTAAAAGGTTTATAATAAGATAAAATATTTAAAATCCTTTAACCCAAATATTATTGTTTCTCTCTTTAAAGATTAAAAAGTTTTTCTTTGCTTTTCAACGTTTCACCAAGTTGGAATTAATATAATATGTATTTAAGAAATGATAGACAATGAGCCACTGAGAAACTAAAGTTTTCGTGACCTCTAATGATGTTTTTATCGCCACTTAGATCTTTAACAATTCTTTATTTTGTTCAGTTTATACCTAATAAAGTTTGGTTCCTGTGTTTTAAAATATTAATTTTTCTTTAGGAAGTGGTCAGGTTCAACTATGGCAGTTTCTCCTCGAACTGTTGTCGAATAAGAGTAACGCATATTGTATCTCGTGGGAAGGGACTAACGGAGAGTTCAAACTGACAGATCCTGACGAAGTTGCTCGCCGGTGGGGGGAGCGCAAGTCGAAGCCTAACATGAATTACGACAAACTCAGTCGAGCCCTGCGATACTACTACGACAAAAATATAATGACTAAAGTACACGGCAAGCGATACACGTACAAGTTTGATTTCCGTGGCTTGGCTCAGGCTTGCCAACCTCCACCGATGGATCCCAACGCCTTGAAGATTTCTTTGGATATTCTTTTTCCCGAAAACCAAACTACACCGCCTCCACCCACGTTCAACGTAAACTATACAAATTTAAATAAAGCTTCAATTTGCTATAGTAACATAAATAAAGTAGCTGATTACCCAGACTTGTCCAGCTTTTCTTCGAATATTGGTGTCCATCAAGTAAATTACCATTAAACTCATATTGTTCGGCGAGGACCAAAAGAACATTCCTGATGCAACAATAAACATTCGTAAGTACTGAATGGATATCGTAACGGTGGCATACGATCTATCAACAATAACTTCAGATTATGTGATTTCTATTTGTCAGTGTAATGTCTTTGACGTACGACTTAAAACTTTATTGTAAAATATAACACAAGAGTAGATTATCTGGCTGATTTGGTGACGGAATTCAGACATATATTCAAAAGTTGGGATGTGATTTACTGACGACTCACTACCTCGGAGCATTCATAATGTAATCGTCCTGAGGTTATACCTCTTATGAACAACAACAACAAAAAACCTAATAAGATATTATTAACCTTCTGTACTCACGAAATAAATACACAACATTATTAAAGTTTAGTAGAACTTCATTTTTATTAAAAGAAGCTTGAGATATGGGAGATTCATTTTTACGTAAAGTGTAATGAGCTTCAGTGATTTGTACTTATTTAAAAGCACCTTCAAAAGATCTAAGATTGGCTTTGGTGTATTGAAATTCTACAATCGGTAGTAGTTGGAAGACGTCCTTCTAATGTCCAAGATCGTTTATTTTAAGACTATCATACGCATATTTTTTTTCTTTTAAACACTGCCAAATTAGAAATAATTTTTAAGTACTTGCATTTAGTTAATATTATGTTTTTTCATTCATCCTTTTAAAAAATATTTGCGTTCAACGGCTTTCACGTGAAAAGCTTGTTTTAAGTTACCATATTGTATATTTAACTTAACTCCAGCAATTTGCAAACGTTCTGGTGTGTGGAGAGAAGAGCCTGGAAATAACTATTTTTATTCTCTTGTCACCAATTAAAGTTAAGATATATTACCATTCCTGTACATACCATGCTTCGGATCTTAAACCTTAGTGTTGCTGATATTACGTCACAGAATGTTATCATTCTTGTATTGTTGACCGGACTTGTACATAGTATGCTTCGATTTTAAATATGCCTAATCGAAAAACTTACTGTTAGTGATGTTGCATCATATATTATGTACAAATATTTCCTATGTATTTAACTACCTTGATGGATACATTTGTATGTTGTGAATATGATCGATAAATAAAAAAAGCCTTATTTTCCTATGATTAAAACTTTAACTCTCGCAGTGGTTGACATAAGTTAACCTTATGCAGGACGAAACGCTATAATAATCACTTTACTTCACTCCTAATACACGTTGATGCATTCTTAATACACGTTGTATGCATGAGCCATTTAATTCCAAGCTTGCTTTTATAGAAACCTATAAACATCGTTTGAGGAACACAACGGATAGTGTCGGAGCTTATTAACGAACACGTAATTTCCGAGTGACTATTTATTCAAAACGGATAGAAAGGCCTGATTACGTATGGTTAGAGTTTAAATGTTTTTGTGTATCGTTGTGTTGTACTTTTTGTAAGCAGTGAATTTGAAAATAATACGATGACACGCAATAATTTTATGCCCCTCTTTATACACACACAGTGCGAATTTATGTGGGAGTCTGGATTTAACATCAACATCCCCAAGTTTAATAAGTACCTTGTTAAATATTTAATGTTTTCTGGAGTGAAAACTCTTGTCATTTGCGACATTTTTAAAGGACTTGAACATTTT